AAGTACAATTGCCAAATAAATGCATGAAGAAATGTTCAACAACTTTAGCCATAAGAAAATCAAAACAACTCTGAGATTCTCTCACCCCAATAAGAAATGCTATCGTCAGGAAACAAATAATAAAAAATGCTGGTAAGGATGCTTGGGGGAGAAGGAACCCTTATACACTGTTGGTGGTAATGTAAATTAGTGCAGTAATCATGGAAATCAGTATGGAGTTTCCTCAAAAAACTAAAAATAGAACGAAGATATGATCCAGCTATATCACTCTTAGGGATGTTTTTAAAGGAATGTAAGTCAATCTACAGTTGAAATATCTGCTCACCCATGTTTATAGTAGCACTATTTATAATAGCTAAGCTTTGGAATTAGAGCTTTATCCAAAGAGTGGATAAAGAAAATGTGGCACATATACACTGTGCAGTATTACTCAGCCATAAAGACAAACTCAAGTTCAGATAAACATACTCATGTGTGGAATCCAGACCTAAAAAGAAATAATATAACATGATTATAAAAGGGGGACTTCTTTGGGGGGAAACCAGTGGGAGAAGAGAGGGAAAGGAAACAGTGATAGGGTGAATATGATTGAAGTTATATATAGATATATATTCATATGTATATGTATATGAAAATATCATAACAAACCCCACTAAATCCTGTTAAAAGGGGGAAGAGTAATAAAGGCCCAGGCATGTGATTGTTCTTTAATTGGTCAGGGTGATAGTTTCCTTTTTTTCAAGTCCCCAGGTGATTCTTGTTTGCAGTCAAGATGGTGGCGAATACCCAGCACTTTAGAACTGTATCTTGGGTGGTCCTCGGATCCTTGATGGCCCAGGGGCTGGGCCAATGTTGTATGCCTTGGGGTTCTTTGTAGAGTGTGGACTGGGTGGGCACAGTGCAGGCCTTAACAAGCACTGCTGTCTCTCTGGTCCAGGGACTCAAAGCTCTGCGAGACTCCAGCCTTCTGGCAGCTGCAGGGTTTAAAGCCAGATGGTCGCCACTCCTACAGCGGCCTTACTCGCCTTATTGCAGCCTGATATTCCACAGGGACGTTCATTTCCCTATTAGAACCTGAGAACACTAATATGAGGAAGGCAGGGCAAAACGGTTGCCTCTGTAGTACATAGGAGAAAACGGTGACCCAGAGAGGTGTGGCCATGTGCACAAGGTCACCTGGCTTGACTAGAGTCCTGACTGCTAGCTCAGGGTTCTTTTTTACTGCCTCAACCAGACTGGATGTCCATTTGAGTTTTATGTTAATTAACTGGGCATCAATCTGTGTTGTGTATGGTAGAAATAAAGAGATAATCAAAGTATGAGTTCCTAAGTCTCACAGAGTGTTGCCACACAAAGAGAATTCTTCTCAGGTTCACAATGAGAAAGCAGGGAGGGGGATTACATGAGCAAACCTCACAGGGAAGACACTCAGTAGACCAAGTATGTTAAACACACAGTGAGCAAATTCTGCAATAATTAAATTCCAGCTGCTCCGTCTGGATGGAAGCAGGCCTTGGTAGAAAGTGTAGGTAAAGGTTGAGAGGCACCTTCTGCGAATGGTTCTTGGGAGACCATTGATTGACTACAGCAGTGCAGACTCTGGAGGACAGGCAAGGTCCCTTGATACTAGAGGGATGGTGCCAGAGCTGGAGGGGAGGGTGAGGCTGCAAGTCCCCAAGGCTGTCAAAGTATCATCAGACTCTTGAGTTTATGCATATTTTCCAGTCTAGAAGTTGAGGTCAATAACTCCCATATGGGAGTCTGATAAGTCATGACGTCAAATTCCCAAGGGGCAGGGAGCTATTCCAAATTCTCACATATGGGCTCTGCTAAGATGTTGCACATTTTAAAGGAGGGGGAATACACTCCCAAACAAATATCACTTGCAAATTGTATGAGTGTTTGAAATTATTTCATAACAACATGACAATATGCTTATTGCTCTAAAGACTCTGTTCATGTACATTCTGAATGATGCACAGCCTTTCTTGCTTAAAAAAACAACAAACTCCAATCAAATTAGCTCCTTATCTGGAAACTGGATTAGATTTGTTCAGGGCCATGTGGATCTGGCAGGTGTACCCCAGAGTAACCTTAGAGAGTGCCAGTTTCCTTACCTCCCCAGGGCAGCCTACTGGGGCCATGGATCTACAGGACTGAGCATGGACTTCCCAAGGGTTCCAGAAAGTAGATGCTTGGCTACCTCATGGATCAGTAATCAAGGTCGATGGTGGCAATATTGGAACCTGCTGTTCTTTGCCTTCCTGGAAGTTTTCTCCAGCTGCACATCTGATAAACAACATCTGTTCCAGGAAAGGAACTGGGAGGAGAGAACAGAGTCCCTACCCTTCTCTAGCTTGGGGCCCCATTGACTGCCTCCCTGTCCCCTTGGAACGTATGGCCACCCCAGTACCTGCAGTCAGGTATACCCCAAGGAATAGGGCAGTACCTAGGCTGCATGAAAATGGTGTGGCCAACAGCTTTGAGGAATGTTCCTAGCTGACTTCCTTCCTCCATGGTTGTACCCTTTTCTCAGCTTCTATTTCCAAATCATTTTTCCTAAGTGATCATTCGTATCTGTTAATATAGTGAGCTGAGGAAGACAGTTTACCCTAGACCAGGGAGAAGGACTGTCACCTGTGACTACTTCCATTATACCATATTCCATTCACCCATGTCAACTATCCTCTTGTCTGGAGACTGGCAGGTGCTGCCTCCTTCTGGCTGGCATGCCAGCCTGCAGTCTCCGGAAGACGTCTTCCTTTAAGTGTGGGCCTAGAACCATACCTCTGTGTGGTGTGGATTCATCGCCATCTTGTTACTTATCTCTCCTGGCTGCCTGGGACATGTCTTGCTTTTTGTACCCTCATTGTAGTATAGTAATATTTATTTGGCTGTAGCATCCTCTGCTACTCACACTCCCGAGGGCAGGGCTGGTGCCCTCTGCTGTCCTCTGTTTCCAATGCCTGGCACAGTGAGAGGTGTAGAGTTGGTGTGTGATAAATATTTGCAGAATCAACATTGATTGAACTCTTTTGCCAACACAGTGATGTTTTACTTGAGTTGTGGGGTCAAGGCCAGTGCTGGGTCAAGCTGTGACAAAGGGTCACCCAGTGTAAGATAAGTCTGGCCACTGGGAGCCCCCAACCTCAAGGTGATGAATATCCTCTGTCACCACCATTATCTTTGAGCCTCTACTGGTGCTCTGTGCTGTTGTTATTGAACTCAAATCTGTTTGCTTGCTATTTGAAAAGGGGCCCAATGACTGGAAGACAAGTTGTTGGGACCAGGAAAAAGATATTTTTAGAAAGCCAGCAAAATGAGAAAAGGGTAGTCCAGTGTCTAGAAGCAACCATTTTCTTTCTCTGCATAAGTTTCAAGTTCATTTATCTTTGGGAAAGGGGGAAAGGTAGCTCAGGGGCTCAGGGTAGGAAAGAATTGATGACTCCTTTTTGGTACCTCCTCTTTGGCCTGAAGTGGGATGGTGGTGGTTTGTAATCTGTTGATCGTGACATCCCTGTAAATCTTGACAATATTTTAGTTATTCTTATCTTGGCACCTATAGTCTTGAAGGGAAGTTTCAGATAAATTAAAGTGAACTATCAGTTCTAGACAAGCATTTCTTAAATGACTAACATATCTATGTGCAGCGTTGAGCAGAAATAATCTAAATCAAAATCTAAGATAGCAAAGGAACAGATATAACAATGAAGGCAGAGATGCCAAGCTTTTCCACCCTGTTTTAATCACCCATTGGACAGCTGCACAGGTCCAAGGGAACAGTCAGTGCTTTTGATAAAAGTGGCCTTTAAGTTCCTGAAAAGTACTCTAGGCAACTTGTATCATCATAACCATATATCAGATGAGGCGTTACCTACAGTAAAGTTAGTGGGAAACTAATCACACATTGCTCAGCTGTGTGACCTCCAGAATTAGTGACTTTTAAGGCAAGTAACAGCAGTGAAGCTGGAGGGTTTTTTAGGTTGCCGTCAGTTACCCAGGAGGGCTCTACTACAGTGACTCCTTCAAGCTTCACCACAGCACTGTGTCCAGGGACAATCTGGAGTCCACTCACATTCAACTTTGAAGCCCCATCATAGCTTGCATGGCCCTGATGGTTGGAAACAAAAGCTGGAGTACTGAAACTGCCATGGTAAGATATGAGGCTGGGTGACCAAGAGGCGGGACACACTATGGGGAGGCAGTGACCTGCTGGGATGATCTCATCTCAGGCTGGACCATCTTTGAAACACCCACTCCTCCCAGGGTCTGTATGGGTTGGGGCCCATGACCGGGCCTGATTGGCTTGAGGGCTCTCCAGTGACCTCAGCCAATTGGATAGCAGAAATGTTCTATCTCAGCAGTGGCCTGAATTGTTCTCTTCTCAGAACCTATTCCTGGACCCCTTCTCAGGGTGGGGGGGTGGCCTTACCGAGGCAGGTCCTTGAGGCAGCAACAGCACAAGCATTGGAACTAGAAGCCCACAGGAGCTCACTACAGTCTCTAGATACTTCACCAAGAGCCAGGGCCACCACATGGTCTCCCACCCCTACAATCTGTCACTACCAAGAGGTCATCCCAGGCCCTTTCCATTTATGACACTTGCAGGTAAGCAGGTGAGTCAGGGAGGGGTGCTGAATTTGGAGTCAGGGTCTGGCCCTCAGTTATGACAGGGACACTAATTCACTGTGTGAGTCTGGACAGTTAACATCCCTGCTCTGTGCCTCAGTTTCTCAGTATAAGATGAGGGGTGAGGACAAAGGGTCTGTGGAGGCCACTGACCATTCACTCTCTACTTCTATTCTTGATCACTGTCCCCTCGGGCACCGAGAAGATAGTGAGTGTGTGGACCAAGAAAGTTGGGAAAAAGTGAAGTGTGATGGAAAGTCAGTGGCAAGAGACCCAATGACACAGAAATGCTCATGAAATTTTTAAATGTTCAACTCACAAATGTCCCCATGGGCGGCAGCTGACATCTGAGATAGAGGCTATGAGTGGATAGAGGCAGCAGAGGATTTTATTGGTATGAACAGGGGATCACATGGTGCCTGGGGTGTTACAGGGCATGAGAGTGAGCAGAACGTCTTCTCTCACAGTGTCTTCACTACAGAAGCTATACCTGTGGAGAAAAATGAATGCTGTGATTGGAGCTGTTGAGCCATGGTTAATGCTAATTTACACTCAGAAGGCACAAAGTGGGCACAGGACTATGGCTTCAACCAGTCACTGGGGAACTGGATGCAAGGGTTTCCAGTATGAAGGGTCCAGGACAAGGTGTGTTATTGCTCTGGACTGGCCCCTTTATGTGACAGGACACTGGGCTCCTGGGGCAGTAGCCCTTCCTTCCTTCATTCTCACAGTGACCACAGAGGATTGGTTTACAGATGGACACTCACTCTTCTTTAGTCACTCTTGGGACCAGACTGAATGTCACAGGAACTGCAATACACTGAGCTCTTAGCAGCTGCAGGCACCTTCTGTGTGAATTTCACACTCACCACACACATGTAAGGAGATCTTGTTAGTAGTCCTACCTTACATTAGAGGAAACTGAGGCATAGAGGGCTCTCAGTTGGTGAGGTAAAGACCCAAAATGTAAATGCAGGTCCACCTGATGCCATAGTACAAATTTTCTATAATAGGGTTACACATCAAATAACCTTGACCTTGTCTTCCAGATCTGAGGTCAGGGTAGGGGGAAGGGCTAGCTTTCCCCTGGGTCTCCCATGCCATTTCATAATAACAAAGTATTTGAATAATTTGATTAATTGAGATTTTTCTTTTTACTCTCCAAGCCAGTTTGGGAGATTTGAAGCTGGTTTTGACTTTCCTATATTTAAAAATACTGACTTCTGACATTCAGTTTTTTCTACAAGAGTTTCTGTGGAGTTGATAGGCAAAGGAAGCTGTATTTAGCCACTGGAGGGCTTAGGTGGCAGCTGATGGGTCCAGGCTTTCAGAGGTGGCCTCAACTACACCTGTTACATTTGTAGAATGTTCAGAAAATGTCAGTTTTTCTTCAGAAACCTGGAAGATGCCATGCCATGGCTGCTTTGGCCTGCTGTTTCCTACCCATGAAAGCCCCTAGAACATGTCTCATTTGCAACGTATGAAGACACTTTCTGACATGATTTTAGCCACACAGTTCCCAGATTCAGGCCCCAGGAAATTATCTAAAAGGACTCTGGGAGCTGACCTTATAGGCTGTGTCCTCTACTGGGGGCCAGAGAAGAAGCCTTAGTTGGGTTTACAGCCTGCATAGGCTCCCTGCTGGCCAGGCCTGGCTTCCTCTGTGCTGTGCTCTTTCTGAAGGGATTCCTGGTCTCAGTGACCACCTATCTAGGTTAGCTTCTTTGTTCTGTCACCTCGTGGGGACAGGGAAGACCTCAGATGTCCATTCAGTTTGATGACCCCAGTGCCACCCTGCTGACTCTCCCTCTCCACCTACAGAAGTGACACTCACAGGAGCCTGAGTTTGGTGTCCCCATTCAACCCCCAAACCTCCAGACCACCAGTGGCTGAGAGCCCAGATAACTTTCCCACAAAGCCATAGCAGGAATGTTCTTCTGGCTGGACTTGCGGTTGAGCTTTGCTCTGTCACCCTTGTGTCACTACATCATTTCCTTACCACAGGTTGTGATGGGGCTTCCTCAAGGACTGCCACTTCATCATTCTTTCTTTCTGTCACACACTTTTATCTTTTCTTAACACTGATTTCTTTTTCCTTCATCTATCCCGAAATGTCATACTCCTCTTCAAAATGCAACTACTCTCTAGCCCACACTTACAAGCATTTCCCCTTCAGAAATAATTTCCTTGAAGGAAATTATTTTTCAAGGAAATAGTTTTCCTTGAAGGACAGGTCCTATCTTCTACATTGCCACAAGCAGTGCTGAGGACACCCGCAAAGGGCACCCTATAGAAGGGCCTCCTGCTCTCTGTCACCTGTTTGTTTGACTGGTGAGGAAGGGCCACAGATGGACAGATTTTCTTGGCTTTTCTGGCCATACCTGATTTTCTAGGCTGAGCTTCTACTATACACATTAAACTCTGCAAATATCTTGAGATGAGTCAGCAGAGAAAGATACGTACACTGTCTGCTCCTCTCCCTTTTGCACGGTGATACTTGCTGCACCCACTTTGGGGAAAGTTGGGTTTACTACATTGTTATTCCAAAGAAACTTGACTTTCTCAATTGTTCCAATATCGAGTTCTGCATCAAATTCATTGGAGTGGGTGGAGCCTGGTTTGATTATCCCCCTTGAAATAGAGAAGCAGAAGCATTTTGTTCATGGACACACATTCTAATGACCACAGAAGACCACACTGTATCACTCTTTGACCTTCGATTAATGAGAGTCTTCTTCCAAATTTATCCTCAGATCAGGTATGGAGAAATGTTAATGCTATATGCTGGCAGCCTCAAAACGTTATTTATATATTGTTTTTCAATATATAACTCTTTCACATTGTCTTATACTTTTGTGGAAGAAGTACATGTACAGTAACAAGTTAGTCACTTAGTTTAACACATGCTATTGGGATAATCAGAAAATCAGGTATTTGGGGATAATATTAGACTTTAATAAAATCTAATCTCAATATTGAGAGAAAAGCAACTAAATGGTTGGATTTGGATTAGAGAAAAGAAAAATTATTAGCAGAAGTATGAAATTAACTTTAGTACGTAAATAACTGAAAGCCCATGAATATATAGATGACAAATGTTTAAGCACATGGCTTGAAGATGTGGCACCAAAATAGGAAGTACCTGAAGATGTCGTACTGGCGAGTGTTTCCCTCATTTCCATACAAAGCAACTTTGACCTGACCAGTGGCTATCATTCCAGACAGTGTAACAGAAACCCCATATCTCCAGCCTGCACAGAGCACAGAAGAGTTCACTTTATTCACATATGTAACTGTGACCCAAACCCCAGATTCCTGTTCCTGTCCCTTACAAGGAGGCATTAAAGGATCAAGAATTTTACTTGTTAATATACATCTCATGCCAAGGCCTTAAGGGGAATGATACGTTCAGTCCTGGTTCCCTCTAGACCTGCACTGCTTATACTTAAGTTCAAATTAAAGAAAACCTTTAGTTCCTCAAGTTCACTAGCCACCTTGTGAGTGCTAAACCATCATGTATGACAAATAGCTTCTGGATTCATGGGCAGAACACGCCCATCACTGCGAAGTTCTCCAGGACAGCTCTGCTCCAGGCTACCAGTATTGTGTCTTAAGATGAGAAGAAGAGGGTCCAGGACACCAGCCCACACATGGGAAGGTAGCACAGAAGTGTGGCCTGCAGAGCATCTCGAGGCCAGGGTCACCTCTACATTCCCAGACCACTGGACAAAGTAGGTACCTGAGCAGTTGTCACCTAGATTTATACCCAGAGTGCTGACCCAGTGTCCATGTGCACATATCCCTGAACACACAAACACAAATACATATACATAAGCCACACCCATGTAGCAACACACTTACATACACATAAACTCAAATACACACAAACATTGAATGCACAAGTATATAAACACAAATACACACAAAGTTACATACACACACATGCACACGCATATGTACACACACACACACACACACACACGTACCTTTGCCTAATTCCTACTACTCATCTTTCAAATCCTCAGAGACATTATCTCTGCCTCTTCAGAGCCTGGTCCCCTGTCCCGTAATGCCCTGGTAGCAACCTGACAAACCCAATACTCTTGCAGCTGTTCAGTTTCCTTCTGGGCTGAATTATAAATTTCACGAGTAGTGTCTTGTTCATCCTTCCATCCCCAGTGTCTAATAGCCCATATCTGTGGTCCATAAATAAATGTTGGTTGAGGAATAAATACTTAGTTTTTGAATGTTTACTGTGTTGTTGTTAAAAAATGGGCAGGTATTTCATGCATCACTACATCAATGAAAGGATTGATTATCCAGTGCCTTCTCACAAAAAATTATGTATCCATATATTTATGGTGATGGAAATATTGTGCATCTTGATAGTGGAGATAGTTACACATCTATTCATTTGTCAAAACTCATAGAATTACACACTAAAAAGGATGAATTTTGCTGTATATAAATTATACTTCAATAAATTTGACTCTAAAAACTACACAAGATGTGTTATTTTTATATATTCATATAAATACACAATCTCTGTTTTTACTGGGCAACACCTTATGGACACTATCCTAGGACAGGGAGACTCAAAGTGGCCCAAACATTCCTGCTCTTGACCCTATGTTCAGTCCATCCAGCATGCTCTGGAGAGAAATCATCCCCCTACCCTATGATTCCCATCCACACTCCACCAGAGAAGCATCAGGAATGCACGGACAAAACTGTGAAGGCGGTGAAATTGAAGCTGGCTCCAAGATACCAAGAAAGTTTGCTGAGTGACTAAGCAGGCAGGCATGACACGGTCTTAAAAAGGTAAGGGATAATGAACTGGGGAGTGGTAAAAATTCAGGACAACTGGTCCCAAAGTCAAGCAAATTGTCACAGTTCCATTAATCATACAATGCACTTTCACTCATTTCATGCCATAGAAATAAAGATGGAAGAAATGAGGCCTCCTTCTTAGTTGAGTCTTAGATCTGATAGGTTGGGTGGCTGTGTCCCTTTATAAGATAATCAGAATGTACCCACAAGTCTTTCAGGTTGTGAGGCAACCTTTCACAGAAACCTTCAGATATAAAACAGAAACTATACTTTCTTTACCTGGGCCAGTAGTCAAAATGCAACTTACGTGCAAAATTCTTGGCATCTCCTGTGTTCAAGAAGAATTTCTGCTGCCCCGTACTTGTCCTGCCAGCAAATTTATCAGCATGGTGACCCATCTGTGGGCACCCTTGGTCTGGACAGGGGAAGCACTTGTTCTAGTGAAAGGAGACAGAGGGACTGTAAGAGCAACCTGTCTTCTTATGACCAATACAGTGGGGGAGTCGACACATTTTCCTATAGCCCCAGCTTCCTCATTTATAACAGGAAGAGAGTTGGAAGTCATGAACTCTAAATTACCTTCATCTCAGCAGGGTGCCCAACTCTGATGACAGGGCTCCTTGGGGAGATTTAAACAGTGCTGAGCCCTTGGGTCCAGGTTACATATATTATACTTTCCATTGACTGGACTTGGTGGGCTCTTTGGGACAAAAAGCCATGATTGTAGAATTTACCAGTTTGTAGGGTATATGTACTCTGATTCTGGAGAATTTCAGGCTGTCACCATGATGTCATGGGTGTACAGTTGGGAAGGGATGCTCCTGAGGGCGCTCATGAGCCAGAATGGGTTCATTTGATATACCACTTCTCTCTCTCTCTACCCTGGGGCCAGCCGGGCACATAGAACCCCAGTGCCTGCTTTGCCTTCTGCTCTCACACATTCTTCTGTGTTTGCGTTGCCTTTGCCAGAAACACACACTCTAATTCACACCTTCTAATTCCTATCATGTTGCAAGCCAGATTCCCATGTAGCCTCCTGCTGGAAGCCTTTCAGTAACATGCAGATGTGGATCTTCCCTTCTCTGACTTCCTGGAGTTTTGCTCTCCCACATGACTTATCTGCTGTAGAATTTTTGCTACCTCTTGCCTAAAGATTTTTTTAACTCCTCCACCCAACAGGACCATGAACTCTGAGGGCCAATGCAAACCATGCAGAGAGAAGGCGCTGCAAATCCCAAGCACAGCAGAACCAGTCCCACCGCACCCAGTGCTCTGGTCGGGGCAGTAGCTTACAGACTTGAAGTTCAGGTAGGAGGTGCATGGGTATGCAGTGAACCCGTTGGGGTTGAGGATGCTCTCTGAGTAATACTTATAGCTTCTTAGGTGATTGCAAGCCACAAAGTCCCGGGTTCCTGGGGAAACAGAGGAGGAAGTCTATGCAGGTAGTTGGGAGCTGGTTGTGACAGCTTCTGTGCCTTTCCTTCCAAGTGCAATGGTTCCAAGTATTTTCAGAAATTTAAGTTAAGTTCAAAATCAATAACAACAGCGAACATACACAGAGTCCCCTTGGTGTGGCAGGGAGTGTTTGGATCATGTTATGTGCATTGTACATGGACTTCTCCCCTTTCCCAGGAGACAGGTACCATATCCCATTTACAGAAATAACCACAGATTACAGCTAATAAGGGGGAGAACTGTGGTGAAACCCAAGCCCATCTGGAGCTCAGCTCATCCCTCTAACCTCTGTGCCATTCTGTGTCCAGGCATCAGGTTGGAAGTGCTCAAAGATCAATCAGATATGACATGACCTCCCAGATGCGACAAAACAAGCATTAGGACATTGTTTTGCTGTACTTATTCATATCAAAATGAGATATGATTAGCTTATACAGTCTTGCTCTTCCTTACAACTTTTCTTGCTCCCAGAAACTCATGCCATGTGTGACAAATGCCATAGCACACCTTCTGGGCCTATCCTGAGCTAGCTTGGTCATTAGTGATGGAGAGTTTGGGCTACTCTTATCTATACAAAGCTTCATAAGGCTTTCGATGGTAAAATACCTCATCCTTAGTATTTGCTTTAAGGACATTTAAGCCAATTTAACCAAATTCAGTAAAAAATTCTACTCATTAGATTTGATCAGACCACTAAGGGTTTTAAGCTGCATACTGTTACTTGATGAGTCTGGCTGAGAATTAAACCTGGCCATCGTTGTTTTGACCTTGTTAGCTACAGACTCAGAGCTATATCTGGAAGATGCCCTTTGCTTCCAGGCAAGCTTAATTAGTGGTTAGTGGTCAATTCCCACTCCAGCCTTCCTTACTGTGATTGGTTCTCATTCCTGTTCAGCATAGGTGAGTAATGACTTTCATTGTAAATTGGCCTTGCCATGGAATCTGTTGGGCATATCCTCAGTCTGGCTTCTGAATAGAAGCTAGTTACATAAGTTAGAACCATATCATTGACTCCCGAGGAGAGTTTGCAGAATAATTCTCTTGGTGATAGCCTGATATTTACTCTTATGGTTGTTCCTTTCTCTGTTTGGTAGCTACCAGTTGGCTGTTGGAGTTATAGCTATAAGGCACATGTTTATAATTCTTTATAAGTGTACACAACAGTGTATAATATAAGGAAATATAAATCAGTAGAGCTGCAATATAAAAAAAATTTAGCTATATTTTTCAGAAATAAGATGCAGAAAAGAGAATTGTGTACTTTTAAAGGGAAGTGTATTTTCATTATTATGGCCAGGACTGCACACCCCAGGGAAGTGATGCCCTCCCTGACCCTCACCCCTCATAGTCCCTCACTGTGGTCTTACCTGACCAGATGCCGTCTATGTCCACTATCTGTGACAGGGCATTTTTCTTACATCCTGGCATGTTCTCTCCTCCATTGGGGAAAAAGTCAAGGTGACCCACCATTTGGCTCATTCCAAAACCTGAAATGTTTGAAGGGCAATGAGCTGTGTGATGCAAAGCTCTCGCGGTTAAAACACGTGTAATCATGCCTGTTCACAGCTTAGCACTGCACAGCTCACCTAGGAATGGAATCAAGGGAGCTGCATCTGTGTGAATCACATCAACAAGATCAGCATCAGAGGGATCAAGCCGAACCTCTTCAGGAGTGCCCTCGAAATTTGCTTCTACAGGATCCAATCCTAAAAGAAACCGACAGCAACATGAACACACAGGTCTTACTGTTGGTGCCAGAAGGACCAAGGAGTACAGTTGCCCAGGCTGTGCGTCGCCCAACTCAAAGGGTGCCATACCCTGGTAGTGTCATGTCCCTGGGTGTAGAATATGGGGACATAAAGTCTTCATATTGCTCACCATAAGAGGGCACTGGCAGATAGAGGAGGTAGATAAGCAAAGGAACTTAGATTTTGTTTGAGTGAGGATTTTTTTTCCACATTAAGTTCTCCCATTTACTTGTATATCCTTTATGTTTAATATTCTCATTTCTCTTTCTCTTATCATTGTCCAGAATACAGATTCTTGGGCCAGATTAGCTGGCTCCAAATCCCTTCTCAGTTACTTTTTGGGCAAGTTGCACGATCTTGATGAACAAGTCATCTTTTCATGCCTGTTTTCCCATCTTACACAATGGGCATGATAATAGTGCTATCTATTTTATGTAGTTGTTATGGATTAAATAAGTTCATGTGTAGAATTTAGCACAGAGCCTGTCATACCAGTCATGGGCATTTAAGTAAAATATTAGTTATTATTATTTCTTTTTCACTATCTTTACTTCTTGGCTACGATCCTGAGTTTGTTAATAGTTTTTTGAAAGTTTGGTTGAAACAGCTGAACGTTATGAACATAAATGTTATCAGTAGTCTTCTATTGATTCAGAGTTTCTTTTTTTGTGGGGGTGCTAGGTCTTGAACTCAGGGCCTATACCATCTGCTCCATTTTTTGTGATAGGTTTTTCAAGATAGGGTCTCGTGAGCTATTTGTCCCAGACTGGCTTCAAACCACAATCCTCCTGATCTCTGCCTCCTTAGTAGCTAGAATTACAGGTGAGTGATGCTTGGCCCATGATAGTTTCTTAAGCCAAACATCACTGGTCAGAATCTCAGTCATACCACTGACCCATTGTGTGACCAAAGGCAAGTTACTTGCTTCTCTGGGCCTGTTTCTTTACCTTAGAGAATTAAAGGAGACAATGAAAAGCACTCTGCAAAGTATTTGAGATAATCAGGCACTTAAACTATGCTTACTTACTACAGTAAATATAATAGCATTAACACCATTATATTACATAGATATATTTTTTTGCTGTTGTTCTAATTCAGAGGCTTGACATGGGTTAAAGATTGCTTTTGGTGGTGATGGTGGCTGGGTTTCCTTTTCCAGGAGAGAAAGTAGAAAACAATTTCAGGCTCTCCTCTGCCCTTGACTTTAAAGAAAAGGTGAAAAGGAATGACAATATAGTCTCTTTTCAGTTATATTTTTCTCAATGTCCACACTAGCCTTACTCTGCATTTTCCTGGGTGCACAGTGTTGCCAAACGAACCACATCATCAGGAAACTTGGACCCAGAGAAGAGGTACTGTGATGGAGGTGGAAGAAGCACAGCGGAACAGAGCTCCTGCCTTTCCTTGCCACAGTGATGTCCCATGGGCTCCTTGCAGGCTTCTTAAAGTGTTCTGTGTAGACTTCACCCAGCCCTACCATAGCCAAGGGCAGCTCTAAGCCAGGCTGCAGGCTTATGAGCACATACTGGAGTTCCTGGGGACAAAATCAGGGGCCTTGAGCTGGGGCCTTACCAGTAATCCTGCCCAGTCCTGGAGTCCTGCTCCCTGCCTCTCCGGCCACGTGGGCTCCCAGGCTGTGTCCAATGAGGTGAACTTTGGAAGGCGAGTAGCTGTAGTTTGTCTGGAGAGGAGAGACTGGATTGGTTTTCCTAGTCAGAGCACAACCTGGTGGCATGGCTCTTCTGCTGGGAACCTCTATGCTTCCTTGGTCCTCAGGATCGAGCCATAGCTCACTAGGAGACCCTCAGTGTTTTCCTGACTCAACATCCATTTTCCTAGACTCTTCTCTAGACAAACCCTGTGAGGCCCTCATATACATCCTGTTTTCTCACCTCTGGGCTGGGTTTGGACCATTGTTACCCATCCTCCCAATCACTTTTCCAGCTACCATCAAAAAAGCCTGCCTCCAGCAATTCACTTAGACGTCTCTTCTCAGGGAGACCTCCATAATGCCCCCAGCGCACCCATCCCTATGTGCTCCATAAAACCTCTAATGGTCACTGCAAGTCTTCCCTGCAGCTCCTTGAGGGCTTGGGATGCCATCCATCTTTTATTTCCATCCTCCTGGCACTGTATTCCTCAAATACTGGGTGAATAAGCAAAGCGAATAAAGCTATGCACATGTTGGTCTGAGCTGTTCATCAAATGCCCTCACTGATTCTCCTACAGAGCCTCTTATACACCCACTATGTATTCAATTTCTGCAGGAGTACAGAAATAATTGGAACTCATTAACTGTAAGACAGAAATAGCTGGGACCTTTTCCTCATATAGAAAATAGCTGGAAAGAATTACTGAATTAAAGAATGAAAGACAACAAATTAATTAAAATGAAAGAACAGGATAGGAAGAAGCAACTGAAATGGTTATGGCAGAAGAAACTTCCCAGCATTAGAAGGCCCCACACTCAGAGGCCAGCAAAGTTTGTGCACACCAATTGTACATCTTGCCCTTTGGCTCCATTTGGCTTTCACTGGCAATACCCTGTTTTTGCCCCACATAGAGCCCACCTATGTGCCTGGAGCTGGATGGTTTGGGTGCCAAAGACAACTCAGCTCAATGATGTTTCGGGCAAATGAGTTACCTTCTCTGACTGGTAGTTTCCTTATCTATAAATTGAAAGTGACTGTCAAAGCATCCACCTGCTAAGTGTTAGCTGTTGCTATATTTTCTTCCATTCGTGTGTCATCAATGCAATCATCAGAGTTCTAGAAGTAAGGTTCAGAGCCAAGTGTCACTTCTTTATATTTCTTCAATCTGTAACTCCCAGCTTGACCTCTGCCCAGTGGAGACCAGTGGCACCGCTTGCCCCTCTGATGGACTCACCGAGAGGGAGTGGAGCATCTGGGCCACCTGGGCTCCCACAACACGTGCGTTGTTCGCAGCCTGTGTGTAGGTGGTTTGGGAGCCCTTCTTCCAGTCCACGCAGATGCAGTTCACCTCTTCCACCTTGAACATGTTCTGGTTTTGGGAAGACACTATGCGTTATCCCAGCACATGGGAGACCCTTTTAACCAGGGCTCAGAAGTGGCCATTAGTCTTTTCTCCTATCTGGGGTGCTCCAATGAAATGGACTCTGTCAGGGAACCCTGAGGTCCAGCAGGAGTTATGTTACTAGGACAAATGCTACTAAAGGGGCAAATCCATGAAAGCGATTTCATTCAAAGCTGGCCTCCCACTTGTTTCTTTAACCAAATTCAATAAGGTTGATCAGGTTGGGAAAGAGTTCCATCATTAAAAGTGTCCTGTTCTGAAAAGGAAAGGCCTTAAATGTAGTCTCTAGTGGCCAGCATCTAAATGACCTTGTGGATTTGACTGCGAGGTATCCCTTTGACCTCTCGGTGACACCCTAGCCTGCTGTGCATTTCCTGAGCTAAAAAGTGGGAGGGAAGCACCACTTTTTTTATAGTTAGGATGACACAACATTTCATGGAGAAGACATACACTGCACTGATTTAAAAGAGATTTGAGAATTCTAATAGAAAAACTTCTTCCTGGATGTCAAAGAAAACAAACTATGCTTAGGAGTTCTGCCAAGCAGTGAGTGCGTGTGAACAGCTTTTCATAAGCTTTACTATAAACCTCAAATCCACTTATAAGCTTCTCACATGTAATAATGAGTGACCACCTACACAGAGACACTGAAAGGTTTCTTCTTAGGGCTTTCATTTTTAAAGCAACCCTGAGGAAATTCTTAAAAACTTGTAGAATTATCTATCAATAAGATGTGTGTTCATCATAGGACAGGAGAAGTGCTTAAGGTCAACTACCTGGTAAACCAAAGCCAAATGCAGAGTGACTAACTTGGGGTGGTATAACTTTTCCTGTTGACATTATTGGCTATTAATGTACATGCGTAAGGCAGGCTGCTGGGCAAATTCTTAGGTGATAGAAAAATACACTGAATCAGCATATTCACAAAAAGAAAGAAAGGTGGCACATTGTGTGTATGTATGTGCATGTGTGCCTGTGCATGAGTGTGCATGTATGACCATGTGTGCATTTGTGCCTGCATGTATATTGTTTCCTGCATGTGTGTGTATACCTGTGCACCTGTGCATGAGTACACACATCCATTTTGTAAATGTGTGTGTGTGCACATGTCTGTGAATGTCTTGACCAGGGGATGCTTTATCTTATGTAATCATGGCACTTCTTATTCTGCTACTTAAGTCACCTTGTCAATTTTAGTTCCCCATATCTCAAATAATAAATGGTCACAGCAACACATCTGATTCCTAAGGACATGGGGAAGATGTGAATGATAAGAACATAATTCCTTGTTTGCAGAAATATAAGGAACTCTTACTGAAAACAAAAGCAGGAAACACCAAGCCTTGGTTTAGCCAGAAATTAGTGTGCATTTGCATAGCAAATGCCAGCTGGCAGATGTAGCCCAGAAACATGGAGGGGGGTTTTGGTTTTTGGGAAGAGAGGCATTTTGGTCACATAAAGGTACCTAATATATAAGGATTTCCTGTTCTCAATCTTCTAATTGTAATTGCTTAAGATGAGACAGACATCAGAAGGAAATAGACACAGTGACAGGACTACTGCAGAGATCCGAGCCAACTCCTACCTTGCACATGTCAACCACCCAGCTCTCCTCTCCACTGTCTATGAAGCCATGGATAATGAACCGGGTCTTCCTGTCCATGTGAAAGTTTGATGCCTCAATCGTTGATGGATCAGAGAGTTGGAGAATCTGTAGCAAAGACAGAAAGCTGCATGTTTTTGCCACCCTGCCCACAAGCCCATCTCACCTTGAAAGGAGAGCTAGAATGGCAGTCCTAAAACAGAGAGCACCAGAATTTTAGGAGGAACTGCTTCTAAGAATGACTGAAAGCAGCAAGCCCCAGCCCAGAAATAGCTGGTCTGGAGAAACAGCCCAAGAACTGCTGCCCTGGGGAGATAAAGAACCATGGCACCCAACAAGGAGAATAAAAAGAGCCTCCCCACACCCCTCAGGGGCACCTGGTTTCCAGACCTCGCTGCTTGAGACACTCCTCAGCTTAGGAGCAGCTTTTTTTACTTTCTCTTCTTGGCAAATAAATGTTTCTTACTTTCACCTTGCTGGACTTTTCTATCTTTAATTCATTAATGCATAGAGAACAAGGACTTGTGTTGGCTGAGAACACTCATGCATCATTTCTTGGTGGTCCATAGGGAGAAGTCTTCACTTCACAGCATCTCCATCACCTTACCAAGGTTGGTAAGAGTCTTGTCAAACTGGGAGAAAATGTCTAGGAAATGACCACGATCATCTGGCACTCCAACAGACCTCTCCTCCCAGGGGATCCTCCCCACCCCCGGCCATGGCTTAGCTATGGCCAAAATCCCTGACTGACTAATCCTGCACCATTCTCTCTCTCTCAAGGACTTTCCTCCCAGGGAAGACAGAAGCTTCTCCTGAACTCACTTTGGTTACTCCTGGTGGCAGCTAGTCTGTGCCACCCAAGGGTTTATACTGGGCCACCTATAGCTATGCAAGCAGGAGCCCACTGTTGTCAAAGAGAGGATAAGCAGGAAGGCAGGGAGGGGGAAAGGAGATAATGAGACACATTGAGAGATAAAGACTGCAACAGTGAGACAAAAAAAAAAAAAAACAGATTTGAGGAATGTCACTTAACTCCTGGGTGAGACCAGAGAAGAGTCACCTTGCCCCAGAGGTTAAAATGGCCAAAGAAATAATATGTGACCATGTATGGGACAAGCTGTACCACACACTCCCCCCCCCCATTTCTGTAACCTGCTCTAAATGCTATATAAGGAAAGTACATTTTGTTCTTGGGGCTCAGCCTTTGGATAAGAATCTGCGGAGTCACTACTGGCCTGCTTAATAAAGTTGCTTCCTGAAAGATTTGGTGCCCCATCTCTCTGCCTGAGCCATCCTACAACATTTCTGGAGGCTTGTCTGGAATTTGGAGTGATGTTTTCACCTTCTTGTCACTGGCTCAGCATCCCCAGCCTGCCAGAAGGGCCGCCCCTGCCAGATGTGTTGATCACAGAGGAGGGAGCCTCTCTCCCAGCAAACCGAGGAGATGAGTTTCAGTCATGTAAAGGAACCCAGAAAGGCTCAGGAACCAACTCAGGAGCCCCGCTCAACAAACTGATAAGAATCCAAGTTTGAATTTGCCTTAGGAGGCAGAAGGGGAGTCTGATCAACTCCCAGCAGAGATACTAGAGTAACCCCTTTTGGGGGTGAAGCTGTGTTTCTCAGGTTCAGGGATCAGGGTGGAAGTACTGTGCTGTGTGAGAGCTTGTGAAAGTGTGAGTTTGAGGTTTGGCCTAGCTATGAAGCAACTGTGGAGTCCCAATCCACAGGTCCATGGTAAACTCATATGGTTTATGGTAAGCCCTAACAGGGCCTCCAGTCTGGAGTTTATAAAGACTCACTAGGTTAAGAGATGCCTAAATCCCTTCAGGGAGAGCAGCTGGGAAATGGATGAAGCAAGTTGTGTTATTTGTTTTCCCCTGTGTGCCAGAAAGGAAGACCCCTTACCTCCTCTTCACAACCCTCATCCCTTCTGTTTCTGTCTCAGTCTTGATGTCTGGTAATGGGAGGAATGGGAGGAGGTCAGAGTAAGAACACCCTCCTAGGGTGCATGCTTAAGAACTTTAAAAAGGGATTTAATGGAGATTACAGAGTCAAGCTGAGTTCTGGCAAGCTCAGGGCCTTCTGTAAAATAGACTGGACTGCTTTTGGTATAGGATGGCCCTTGGAGGGGTCATTAGATAAGGTCATAGTCAATGGAGTTTTGAAGTGGTTGTAGGGGATCCAGAGTTTCCTTAAATTGACTGCTGACAGGATGCAGTCCTCAGTCAGCCCACATGGCTAAAACCCCACCTAGAGGAAGCACATAGGGTCATGGTAGCCTGGGTGGCAGTAGCTTCCAAGTGCAGGAAAAAATGTAAAAACCCAGAGAAACCCATATTAGCAGTGGACCATGAGGAGATTCTGCCCCTTTATGTGTGCACCCTTTGCCTCCACCCACAAAAGGGAAAGCAGCATCAGATGGGGAAGCCCCAGCAGCAAATATGCCCACAAGGCTGGGTCCAGGAGTCCTTGAGACTGCAACAACCCCAACCTCCCCATGAACCTCATACTCACTCCAAGCCCATCAGTCCTCACTGCACAGGTCCCTGCAAGACTGGCCCCTAGGTCCAACCAGGAACACTTGAACAGTCCCAATACTCTGATGGCATGGCAGCCTTAAAGCAGAGAAGGCCTGAAGGTTAGATTCTAACTCTCATGGTTGCGCAGGAGGAGGAATTGTGACTCTGTGCTTCTAAGAAAGAGATTCCTGAGATACCTGAACTTCCCTTTAAGATTCCAGTATGGGTTGAGGACAACCCCCACACTCCACACTGGCTCAGAACATACCTCTGGTGATGGTAGAATTAAGACCGGGAGCCATTCCTGTTAGCCAGAGGCTACATTCCTCACAAGGTCCAAACTGGGATTCAAAAGCATCTTGATAGACTATCTCTGTGCAGTCAACTCAGCAACTGTTACATTACATTCTGTGGTCCCAAACTCATACACACTTTTGAGCCTTATCCCAGCAGAGACAAAATTCTTTACCTGCTTGGACCTTAAGGATGCATTTTTCTGCATCTGCCTGGACCAACAGAGCCAACCCATCTTGCCTTCCAATAGGAAAATTCTAGTACTGGAGAGAAGGGACAATTGACTTGGACTTGGTTGCCACAAGGCTTCAAAAACTCTCCCACTATCTTTGGGACAGACTTGGCGTCCAACCTAAAGGCTTTCTCAGCCAACCAGCATTGTTGCATACTCCTCCAGTATGTAGATGACCTTCTGTTGACTGGACCAACTCCTGAAGATTGTATGAAAGGAATACACCTCCTTCTCTCCCTTTTGTGGAAGGCAGGATATAAGGTTTCCCAAAAGAAGACTCAGAAATACCTTGGGTTTCACCTGTTGCAATGTAGACTGGGTCCTGAGAGGAAACAGGCTGTCTGTTCCCTTCCAGTTCCCAAGACCCGTCAACAGATTAGAGAATTTCTAGGGGCTGCAGGTTTCTGTTGGATCTGGATCCCCAATTACTCTCTCTTGGCACAACCCCTTTATGAAGCCACAAAGGGGGGAGAGGGGAGAGGAGCAAGAAAAGGACTTAAAAAAGATTAAGAGGGCACTCACAAATGCCCCTGCTCTGAGCCTGCCAGATGTGATGAAGTCCTTCTTCCTATATGTACATGAGAAACTGGGGACAGCTGTGGGAGTCTTGACCCAGCTACTAGGTTCCTGGCACCACCTTGTGACCTATTTATCAATTCAACTTGATGCAGTTTCCCAAGGCTGGCTGCTGCCTGTGTATCTTGGTGGCCACTGCTGTCTTGGTGGCTAAAGCAGATAAACCTTCTTTGGGACAAGAATTCACAGTCTGAGTTCCCCATTCTGTTTTGACTCTTATGGAATATAAAGGAAATTATTGGCTGACAAACTCCTGAATGATCAGAAATCAAAGCATGTTATGCGAAAACCTGCATATTCAACTAGAGGTTGTTAAGACTCTAAACTCGGCCATCCTATTACAGGTTGACTCAGGATCCCTGGAGTATGACTGTTTAGAGGTTATGGATGAGGTGTTCTCCAGCTGGCTGGACTTGACTGATCAGCCTATCAGTCATCTGTATGTTGAGTATTTCACAGATGACAGCAGCTTTGTCCTATATGGCACACATTTTTCCAGATATGCAGTAGTGGCTCTAGACACTATATTGAAGCATATATACTGCTGGTCAGGACCTCTGCACAAAAAGCTGAGCACATTGCTCTCACTTGGGCACTCCAGCTCACTGCAGGAGTGTGGATAAACATCTATACAGACTCTAAGTTTGCCTTTACTACCATTCATGTCCATGGAACCCTAAATAAAAAGGGGGGCTCATTAACTTGGGAGGAAAAAATGTTAAGTATAGACAAGAAAAGTCTCGGAATTGCTAGAAGCTGTATGGGCCTCTAAGCAAGTAGCAGTCATGCACTGCTGAGCATACCAAAAGAGGGAGACAACAGCTGTTTGGGGAAACTGAAAAGCTGACAGGGAACCCAAGACAGCAGTCCTCACACGACAAACCACAGCCTTACTGACAGCTGCCTTGTTCCTATGCCCTTTATCTGAATGGGACCCATGGTACACACCACAAGAAGAGGCTTTGGTTTAAGACTGAGGAGAGAAATTTTCTACCAAGCAGATGGTGGAAATTTGCTGACAGCCATATTGCAGTCCCAGAGTCATTGGCACCTACATTTGTCAAGCAGTTCCATGAAGGAACTCACTCAGGGCAAACAGTTCTCGAGACCACCTTGTCCCAGCATTTTTATGTCTCCAAGCTCTCCAGCATAAGTATGACAGTATGTGAAAGGTGCAGTTTGTATGCCAAAAACAATCCGCAACAAGGGCCAAGAGCGCCACCCCAAGTGCAAAGTGTTGGAGGAGCTCTTTTTGAAAACCTGATTGTGGACTTTACTGAGATGCCACGGACCAGAGGATGTAAATATTTGCTGGTGTTTGTCTGCACCTTCTCAGGATGGGTGGAAGTCTTCCCTACTCAGACTGAAAAAGCCCAGGAAGTGGCCAGGTGCCTGTTAAAGGAAATCATCCCTTGGTTCAGAATACCTATGTCTATTTGATTAGACAATGGGCAGCCTTTGTGGCTGAGGTGGTATAGTTGGTGGCT